CTTAAGCCCGGGGGGGGGGGGGGCAGAGTGGAGCAAGTGGTTACGAACTTGTACCAAAATGCAGAAATGCTGAGCCAGCAAGATGCAGTTTTTAGGAGCCTAATTTTATTTATTTATTTTGGTGTTTGGTAGCCACTTTAAGTTTCCCCTGGGAAAGAAATCTGGAATATAATGTAATAATTAAACATTTAACTTCCCTCAAAATGCTAACAGGTAAGACCGAAAGAACAGCTATTATTATTATGATCAGAGAAATGCTTTTTCATAGCTTACATTTCAAATTGATTATAAGACTGAGACATTAGTTGTAGTTGGCTAGCACTCTAATTAAATGGACACTATATGCCAAGTCATATCTGATCACAAACTGAAACATACAAACAAGCTGTTCATGAATACACAGTACAGACATCAAGATAGCCACAAGTTTTCTTCATCCTACAAGTGCAAAAGTTTGGTGTAGTGGTTAAGTGTGCGGACTCTAATCTGGGAGAACCAGGTTTGATTCCCCACTCCTCCACTTGCACCTGCTGATGTGACCTTGGGTCAGTCACAACCTCTGGCACAGCTGTCCTTGAAAAAGAGCAGTTTGTGCCAGAGTTCTCTCAGCCCCACCTACCTCACAGGGTGTCTGTTGTGGGGAGGGGAAGGGAAAGGAATTTGTAAGCCGCTCTGAGACACCTTTGGGTAGTGAAGGGCGGGGTATAAATCCAATCTCATCATCATCATCATCATCAAAAGGGAGGACAGAAACTACTCTCCAAAGGGATGGATATAGGCCACTAGCACACTTGAATTACTGTCAGATCAAAATTAAATCTGAAGGTAGAGCATTTGTCAAGGGTTTAACTAAAGCAACAACTTCAAGGGGATGCAGGGAATGTTTTGCCTCTAAGTCACCCATGTCGGAAGGACCTCCAAACCCTCTGTTATGCTGTAAGGATCTTGCACATACAGAAGTGATGGCTTTATCAATCAAAAACCACCCATAAACATTGTACATGATC